CACAAGCCCAGGGATCTGCAATGGAACCCCAAGGCTTCATGAATCTGCAAATTTTTGTTGACATCCCTCACTCCACATAGTTACAATTTTTTTTCTTGTGACGAGAAATTTTCAGATCTACTCTCTTAGCGACTTTCATGTATACAGTATGGTGTTATCCCTGGGACTCATTTATCTTGTAAGAGGAGGTGTATGTACCTTCTGACCACCTTAGCCAATCGCCATCTCTGGCAACCACCAAACTGTTCTCTGTATCTAGGAGTTCAGTTTTGGGTTTTATTTTTTATTTTTTTTTAAGATTCCACATGTAAGTGAGATCAGAAGGTATTCTCTCTCTGTTTGCCTTACTTCACTTAGCATAATGTCCTCAAGATCTATCCATGTTGTTGCAAATGGCAGGATTTCCTTCTTTTTTAAAAAAGTTTTTTTCTTTTTTTTTAATTTTTTTTAATGCTTTATTTATTTCTAGGAGAGAGAGAGAGAGAGAGAGAGACAGCGTGAGCAGGGGAGGGTCAGAGAGAGAGGGAGTCACAGACTCTGAAACAGTCTCCAGGCTCTGAGTTGGCAGTCAGCACAGAGCCCGACGCGGGGCTCGAACCCACGAATTGCGAGATCGTGACCTAAGCGAAAGTCGGACTTTTAACCGACTAAGCCACCCAGGCGCCCCTAAAAAAGTTTTTTTTTCAATGTTTATTTACTTTTGAGAGTGAGAGAGAGACAGAGTGTGAGTGGGGGAGGGGCAGAGAGAGAGAGAGGGAGACACAGAATCTGAAGCAGGCTTCAGGCTCTGAACTGTCAGCAACAGAACCCAACGTAGGACTCAAACTCATGCACCACAAGATCATGACCTGAGCCAAAGTCAGCCGCTTAGGAGTCAGCCGCTTAACCACTTAACCGACTGAGCCACCCAGGCATCCTGGGATTTCCTTTGTTTTAATGGCTGAGTTATATTCATGTGTATACTATTCATCTGCATATGAATATTCATTCATATATGAATATTTATTTGCATACAAATATTCATATATTAACATGTGTGTGAATATTCATATATATTAGCATATCTATGAATGAATGGATAGATAGACACAGGCTGTTTCCAACCTGGCTATCATGTACAGCAAGCACTACAATGAACATGGGGGTACAGTCACCTTTTCTAGTTAGTGTTTACATTTCTTTCTACCCAGCAGTAGAACTGTTGGATCCAATGGTAGTTTTCCTTTTTTCTTTTTTCTTTTTCTTTTGAGGGCAGGAGGCGGGACAGAGGGGGAGGGAGAGACAGAATCGTAAGCAGGCTCCACATCCAGCGCAGAGCCCCATGAGGGGTTTGATCTTACAACTACAAGATCGTGACCTGAGCCGAAATCAACAGTCAGAAGGTTAACCGACTGAACTGCCCGGGTGCCCCCTTTTCTCCCCCATGACAGTTTCAGCTTTTTGAGGAGCCTCCATCGTGACCACACCAAGTTCCATTCCCCATGGCAAATATTTTGATGGCCAATTTCACTTCATACTTGGAGAGAAAACTCCTCTTTGTATTAAAATGAACAACTGTTGCGTTCTGGAGCCAAACATGAATTTGTAATGTCAAAATAAGACTTCAGAGAAATGCCTATCAAACAGCTGGTTCCTTTCAGCCCCAGATGAGAGGGCACATTTTCCTTCTTTCCTGGAAAACTGGAAAAGCCATGCATTCGTCCAAATGTGCCATTTTATAAAGGAAGAGTCCGGGTTGCTTATGACCCATCCGTGCTCAGCAGAGAGGCAGGTGCACCGTGAGTGACCAGGGGTGAGGACCTCGTCTGGGGATCCGCGGAACTCGGGCAATCGTCCACGTGGAGGAAGCTGGGGGAAGGGCAGACCCAGGAAGGAGACGTGGGAACATCAAACAGTTACTAAATATGGGGGCGCCTGGGTGGTTCGGTGGGTTAAGCCTCTGACTTCTGTTTAGGTCATGATCTCATGGGTTCCTGAGTTCAAGCCCCGCACCAACAGTACGGAGTCTGCTTGGGCTTCTCTCTCGTTCCCTCTCTCTCTGCCCCTCCCTCACTCACACTTTCTCTCTCTCTCTCAAAATAAATAATATAAACTTTTATTTTATTTTTAAAACTCTTTTAAAAAGTGACTAACGAGAGACCTCTAAGGGTGCTGGAAAAAATGTCCAAGTGAGGTTTGTTCCTCTGTAGGCATAGCTAGTATTGGGGTGGTTTTTTTTAATGATTTGGAAGCTCTTTTTTTAATGTTTTATTTATTTCTGAGATAGAGAGAAAGAGAGAGAGAGAGAGCGCAGGGAAGGGTCAGAGAGAGAGGGAGACACAGAATCTGAAACCGGCTCCAGGCTCTTAGCTAGCTGTCAGCACAGAGTCCAATGAGGAGCTCGAACCCATAAACCTTGAGATCATGACCCGAGCCGAAGTTGGACACTTAACTGACTGAGCCACCCAGGCGCCCCTGGAAGCTTTTTTTAAACTTTGTTTTTTTTTATTTTAAGAGAGAGAGAAACAGAGCGAGTTGGGGAGAGAGAGAGAGAGAGAGAGATTGAGAGAGAGAATCCCAAGCAGGCTCTGAGCTGCCAGGACGCAGAGCCTGCCCAGAGCCTGATGTGGGGCTCGAACTCATGGGCTATGAGATCATGACCTGAGCTGAAGCCAAGAGGCAGATGCTTAACCAACTGAGCCCCCTAGGAGCCCCAGTATTGGGTTTTTAAGTATCGATGGGTCCGTCAGATGGATACAGTAGTCGCCCTTTCATTGCACGTCCAATGTCTGCGGGTTTAGTGACCCACCATCAACCACGATGGGGAAGCAGGCAGCCCTCCTTCATCGCGCCCAAGCCTCACGACGCCAGTGTCATTCATCCCCTACGGAAGGAAGGAGAAGGGCATATATATAGTATATATGGGTTCGGTATGATCCAGGGTTTCAGGCATCCTCTGAACATATCCCCCGCCGAGGAGAGGGGACTAGAGTAGTCAGGAAACTGGAACCCACAAGAACAACCTGGAATCCTAATGGATACTAATAGTATCCATGTCACAGGGCTGTTGTAAAATGAAATACATGTGCGGAGAGCTTAGCATGGCGCTGGGTACATGATGAGGGCTTGTGGGGGGCATTCCTGGGTTACTATTATTTCCAAGTGGGTGTGTCCAACTAAGACATTGCAAGGTAAAGAGACTTCCGTTGCTTTTGATCCCTAAGTTTTATTTATTTATTTATTTAAACAAATTTTTTAATAGTTTATTTATTTATTTATTTTTAAATTTTTTTAATGTTTTATTTATTTCTAGGAGAGAGAGACAGAGACAGCGTGAGCAGGGGAGGGTCAGAGAGAGAGGGAGTCACAGATTGAAACAGGCTCCAGGCTCTGAGCCGGCAGTCAGCACAGAGCCCGACGCGGGGCTCGAACCCACGAACCGCGAGATCATGACCTAAGCGAAAGTCGGACACTTAACCGACTAAGCCACCCAGGCGCCCCAATAGTTTATTTATTTATTTTATTTTATTTTATTTTATTTTATTTTTTTTATTCATTTCTAGGAGAGAGAGAGACAG